GGTGGCTGCAGTGCCTAGAGGGGACAGTGTGGCAGGTAGCACTGCCCTGGCATCAACCGTCAGGGGAGCCTCTAGGGAGGTGCATGTAGGCTCTCCTAGAGTAATGGGGGGGCCCCCAGAAGGCTGTACATGGAGAGGCAGAGGCACAGGGGCAGCACACAGAGGCAGGGTAGGTGACATGAGCAGTGAGTTGTGCCCATGGGCCTGCCAAAGGATTAGGTTAGAGCATGAGGGAAAGATGGACAGGGAGGACCTGAGGACATTGGCCTGGCCTGGGTGGGGGTGGGAGTTAGGGGAGGATGGCCATTTTCTGGACCTCGCATGTGAGCTTAGGGAGGGATAGGGGTTTAGGCTTTGGGACCAGGTTGTGTGTAGGCTAGCTGGTAGGTATGGGCAGTTGTGACTGGATGGCCTTTAAGGACCTTCCAAACCCAAGGCCCAAGCGCCAGACCAGATGCCTAAGCTCGCCACCCAGGGGTCTGGTTCCTCACCAGCCTCTTGCAATATGCTTTGGCCAGTGCAGGGCATTCATCTGAATTCTGTCTTTCCCCCAAGTGTAGTCCTGTGTCCACCCAGCGACCTAGATGCCCTTACCCCTTTCAGCCTGAGACCCTCCTTATGACTCAGCCACAGCTTGTGAGCTCTGACAGCCAGACCTGTTTAGTATGGTTGTCACAAGGATTGGCATGTGGTAGGGCCTCAGGAATAGGGCCTGGCTCTGGGAAGGCCTGTGTGCTGGCCATGTTGGGGGCCCTGGTCTGCTCCAGACCTCAGTGTATGTCTGGCAGAGGGACAGCAGTTGTTAGTCAGACAGACACTTCTTGGGCATACGGTGGTAACTGAGCCCTTTCACGCCCAGGTGCTGATGGGAGAGAGGCAGAAAATTTCAGAGGGTCAAGGCCACCTGCAGCCCAAACCACCCCCCAGGAATGTTGGTTGAGGGATAAGGAGGGGAGCACTGTCAAGCTTTGAGGTCTGAACACTGCACCCCTCCCAGTTCTGTAGACTGCCTCAGTGGAGGGTGAGGTCCTCTCCATTGCCTTCAAGGCCCTGCATGATCTGGCCCCTGGCCTAGCTTCTCTGTCCTCCTTGCTGTTCTTTGAACATTCTGCCCCAGGGCCTTTGCACATGCCATTCCCACCCCCTGGGCTGCTCATCCCCAGCTCTCCTCTGGGGTCCCCCCTTCTTCAGGCCCTGTGTACCCTCTTCACAATGGCAGCCCCACCCACCACTTGGCCCTTCTCTCCTGTGGTTCTCCCTAGCTTGTGCCAGCACATCCCCTGTGAGTCCTGTCTTGGTTGTAATGATGTCACTTCCTGCTCGTCTCCCCCACTAACACAGGCTGTACCTGAGAGGGGACTTGGTCAGTTTTGCTTCCTTCTACCCCCCACCCTCCGCACCCAAAACTTTGCTGAATGTAGTAGGCCCTCAATGAGTTGAGGTGGCTCAATGGCCAGAGAGGGCAAGCAGGCAGTTTCCTTGGTTGACCGGGTTAGTCCCAAAATAGCCTCCTGACCTCTTCTTACCTGTCCTGGGTGAGCTAATTGCAGCAGGTACAGAGCCAGAACTGAATCCTTTGCCATGCGGCCGGGCAGGTGACAGTGGAGGCTACAGCTGGTCAGGGCAGTGAGCATAGCTCACAGAGCAATGGGCCCACAGGAGGAAGCACCAGTGCCAGGGTCTGGGGGCCTGGGTAGGAGGTAGGGCTGAGGCCACCCTTAGCTGGGCCTGGCAGAAAAGGCAAAAGGGCATTCCAGGGAGAGGGAATGGCCTAGGCAAAGGCTGGGGCAGGGAGCGGAGGACATATGGAGGTAGAGCAGAGAAACAGACTTAACTCACAGTCTGGGGGCCTGCCTGCAACTTGACTGTGGACCCACCATGAGACTTGTGTCTTTGGATTTCGATGTCTTATCTAGAAATAGGGAGATGAATTGTAGCCTTTCTCTAGGAACTTTGGGGACACTCAAGAGATAACTCAAGGACCAGAAAGCCTCCTAGCTGGGGCTGGACCAGTTACGGTGTCTGGACGACCAAGGTCATTTGATCCCTCAGCCTGTCAGTCTTTCCCTTGCAATACTCATAGCAGGCTGGGAGCCCAAGCAACATACAGGAGCAATTTCTAGGATTCTTTAAGGTTAAAACATGAAATATGATGTATTTTTATTTTTTTTTTTT